AAGGCACCTGATTGGGCTAATAAAAAGCTGAGCGGCCAATAGCTAGGCAGGAGAAAGGATGGGCGGGGCTGGTGGGCAGAGAGAATAAATAGGAGGCGAAAGCTGGGCTAGAGGAACGAGAGGAATGAGAGAAGAAGGAGGAGAGAAGGAGGGACATGCCAGGGGCCAGAAGCCGGGCAGCCGTCAGCCAACCAGACATGGAGACAGCAAGAAAGTAAGAAAAGGTAAAAAGCCCACGGCAAAAGGTAGATAAAGACAAACAGGTTAATTGAAGTTGAAAGAGCTAGCCAGAAATGTATCTAACTAAGCTAGGTTGAGCATTCGACACTAATAAGAAGTCTCTGTGTCATGATTTGGGAGCTGGTTGGTGGCCAAAAAGAAAAAGCCTGGCACAGTGTACTGAGGGAGGAGGTGCGCTTCCATTAGTTAAAACCCTGCTTTCACCAGGAGTGAGAGCCCGTGCATTCTCTTCCCTGAGGTAGGAACACAGAATCTGAGAATCTTTCCCTGTTAGAACCTCCCCAAAGAACCACTCTTCCTCTTCCGCTGATCACTAACTGGTTTAAAACAGTGGCATTTGGTAAAAGGTCTTTGGATTTAAGGGCTGGTTTGGGTCTCTTGCTCTGGCTAGGGGCGTCTGAACAGTAGCAAGTGCTATTCTGTCCACTCTTCACTTCCAGGACAAGTTGGCATCCATCCAATTCCTTGAGGCATGTGGAGGTGGGGGAGGAGGGGGCAGGGAGGAGGGTGTCTCAATCTCAAAGCTTTGTGAAGTGGCCGGGAGATTTTATTAGGGAGGTGAGAACAGCGTATTAGTGAGGATGTAGCTTGGGCAGTTGTTAGGCACACACACTTTTTGAAAATAAAAATGAATTGTCTCTAGCACAACCCCAAAGAAGACTTCACTCTGGTCGGGCAGTGGTGGCACATTCCTTTAATCCCAGCACTCTGGAGGCAGAGGCAGGCGGATCTCTGTGAGTTCGAGGCCAGCCTGGTCTCCAAAGCGAGTTCTAGGACAGCCAGGGCTACACAGAGAAACCCTTTCTCGAAAAACCAAAAAACAAAACAACAACAAAAAAACCTTCACTCTGGTTCTAGTTTTTCTCGTGTTTTGTTTGTGTGTTTGGGTGGTTGCTTGGTTTTGGCTTTTTCATCCTTTTTGTTTTCTTTTTTCTTTTTCTTTTTTTTTGGAAAAGGGTCCTTGCTGTCTAGCCCAGGCTGGCCTTGAACTTGTAACACTGCTCCTGCTTCAGTCTCCAGAGTGCTAGGATGACAAGCCGCTCCACCATGCTCAGCCACCTCCCATTTATTTCATCAGCACAGCCGCTGGCGTTGTTTGGGAGCACGTGACCATTTCTTGTTCGCCGCGGCTGAACAACGGAGATAGGGTACCTTGTCCGGGTGGCCCGTGCTTCGTGACAGACTCTGGCAAGAATGGTGCAAGAGTCAGTGTTGTAGGACGTTATTTTAAGATGCATTACATTTGTTTACGCGGCGGAAATGTTTGCTTAATGACGCAAAGATGTGTTGCATTTTTTTATGTTGCATTTGTTTAACTCTGCGAAGCTGTGTTACTTTGCCTGGCTAAAACACCTGATGGTCTAATAAAGAGCTGAATGGCCAATCGCAAGGCGGGAGAAAGGATAGGCAGGGCTGGCAGGCAGAGAGAATATATAGAGAAATCTGGGAGGAGCAAGAGAGATCAAGCAGTGAGAAAAGAAGGGGCCAGTCACCCAGCCACCCAGCCAGCTACGGAGTAAGAGTGAAAGTAAGATTTACAGAAGTAAGAAAAGGAAAAAGCCCAGAGGCAAAAGGTAGCTGGGATCATTTAAGTTAAGGAAAGCTGGCTAGAAATAAGCCAAGCCAAGCTAAGGTCAGGCATTTATAAGTAATAATACATCTCTCCATGTGTGATTTATTTGGGAGCTGGGTGGCAGGCCCCTCAAAAGAGCAAAAGAGTAAAAGAGTCAAAAAACAAGCAACAGCAAGTCAGATTTTTCCCTCTAGGGCATTTGATTATGAGACATCTGGCAAGGGCCGGGAAGGTAGTAAAGAGACAAAGAACCACAGTTGTACAAAGCATTCCTGTGTTCTGAAAAACAGGAAGCATTAGAGCCGTGGCTCTCAGACACATAAGGTTAGTAGGAGCAGTTACAGCACATGAGTTAGCCAATGCAACTGGTCCCCCTACACTGTGCCTGGTGTGATATAAACATCTGCCAGTGTGGCATCGGGGCAGGGGAGTGTAGGAAGCAGGGGAGGTGATTCCTTTTTTTCTCGAAATCAAGCAAAGCTTAAAATAATAGGAATGATTATTGTCACTAAGTCTATGGTGAAAGGGCATGTGATGGTTTCAAAGGAAATGGCCCCCAGAGGGAGTGGCACAGTTAGGAGGTGTGGCCTTGTTGGAGGAAGCGTGTCACTGTGGAGGCGGGCTTTGAGGGCTCATATATGCTCAAGCCACGCTCAGTGAGACAGATCACTTCCTGTTGCCTAAGGGCTGGGATGTAGGACTCTCCGTTCCTTCTCCCGCCATGTCTGCCTGCATGTCACCATGTCACACCCTGACAGTCATGGACTAAATCTCTGAAAATGTATGCCACTCCACCTAAGTCTTTTTCCTTTACAGGAGTTGCCTTGGTCATAGTGTCTCTTCACAGCCATAGGAACCCTAATTCAGGGCATTTAGAGGTCCACAATTAGATCATGGAACTCATAGCATAGTGGTCTGTATGTAGTACCTTTCCTCTTCCCTGAGCCATCAAAGGTATGGCCCCACCTGTGAGGCCCAAAAAAGCCAGTTAAGTCTCTGACCGAATTTCTCTGTGAATCTTTACCTCCTGTATCTGAGACAACCTGAGTGCCTGCCAGATACTTAAAACCGTAAGAACCCAAGGGACACACTCTTTGAAGCTACCTCTTTTTTTTTTTTAAATGTCAAGAAAACAGACCATAATAACATGGTAAGAAAGGTGTATGTACACTGGGTTGGGGCTTGAATTCCAACACTACTCCACTGCTTCTGGAGTGGAGTAGTTCCTATGTAAGTGTTGGCAGGTGAAGCCTGCAAACTGATCCTTAACTCCCCACCTAGATGAACACAGATCGCTCTGCAATGGCATCGCCTTCTTATACCTTTGCCTCTTAACCGTCGTTGCAGAGAAATATTTTAAGCATGGGCACAATTGCCTCAGTCCTTCGAAATGTGTTTTTTCTTTATGCAGAGAGTTCCTATCTCCAGCTTATAAACGGCTGAGCTCTTTTTAGTTTTAAAGACAGATGACGGGGAAAGGACTGTGCTAGCTGTTCCTGGAAAACAGGAGAAAAACAGCTGCTTACGTAATATAAGCCGTGTGTGTGTGTGTGTGTGTGTGTGTGTGTGTGTGTGTGTGTGTGTTTGAGAGAGAGAGAGACAGAGAGAGACAGAGAGAGACAGAGACAGACAGAGACGGGGGGGGGGGGATACTAACATTTCCCATTCTATTCCAGCTCTCCGTGTTCCTGGTACACAGCTGAATAGTAATATTACAGGGTTCTTTAAAGGCCTCCTTTACTCTATTACAACATATCTATCTACTCTCAGTTTCTTTAGTCCATTTGTCCTTTGATCCACTGTCATTGCTAGCACATGAAGTGAAATCTGCCCATTTGTAGGGTGGAGTTCACGGGACGTAAAAGTTTTTTAATGCCAGATGTTTTAGGGGCCGACACACAATTGCACATGCACTGAGTTTTGGCTTATGGGCCTTCATACTTTGCCAGAATTGGATTTGTTTGGAAATGAGGTTTGCTAACTTTCAAATAAAAGCGGTTCCAAGCACAGTGTGATGTACAAATTATCTCCCTTCCGTTCATGTTAAAATAACCCATCCTCTAAATCAGTTTGACATTTACCCCTTCAGTGTTTTGCCTCAATTAATCACACTTCGTCATCCTCTTAATATGTTGAGAAGTAATTGTATAACATCCCACATCTCCAGACCCTGTCAAAAATTTGTTTGGGGGAAAATATATATTATAGTAATTAAGACAATTCTATCGTCTTGAGAGGCGAAGGGTCATTTGGATCTGATTAATCGTGGAATTAGCGCCAAAGAAAAGTCAGGTGGTCACGTGCTTGGGCCTGTAATTAAACATCTGGGAAGGACATTTTGGTCACCAAAAGAGGTAGCACTTTTTGAATGCATTTCAATGTTGCACTTTGGACAGTCTGCAGTAAATATAAAGTGTGTGTGTGTGTGTGTGTGTGTGTGTGTGTGTGTGTGTGTTTGTCTGTCTGTCTGACTATGAATAAAGGTTGGTGTAAACCAGCATTTAGCTGCTGTGGAAACTTTTTCGGTCAGCCTGCTTTGATTCCATATATGGTGTTCAAATAAGAGTTCAGGGGATGCCCTTTTGCTGATCTCACCGCACGCAACACACACACACACACACACACACACACACACACACAGTGGGAGTGGTGAGGACTCTCTCACTCCTGGGCACACACACAGTGGGGGGTGGTGGGGACCCCCGGGGACACAAGCAGTGGTTCTCTGTATGGTGGGTCTTCATCAGTACACTTAGGCGCGTTCATGTCACCTCTCAGTCTTCGGACAGGCCAGAACTTTTCATCCCGTCACCGCCCGCCGGGACATGTCATCGGGCAGGTCCTGGGCTCTCTGGCGGTTCTGACCCGGCAGGGTTCCCAGGTGGAGGCTCCCAGGCGGCTGTGCCCCCCCCGGGGTTCCCGCCCCCCGCAGAGCTGGCGCTCGGGGCGGTGGAGGCGGCGCAGGAGGCGGGAGTTGGCGGCCTCCGCGCTCCGGGCAGCGGGCCCCGTCCTCGGCCGGCTCGCCCCGCGGTCCTCCCTCGCTCGCTCGCTCGCTCGCACACTCGCTCGGCTCCTATGCTCATATTTGGACTCGGCCGCCCGTGCCCAGGAATTTCCCGTCATGCCTCCCGCCGCCCCGTCTGTCGCCCGGAGCCGGGAGGGAGGAGGGAGGCGGACAGCGGCGGCGGCGGCGGCGGCGGTTGCTCGTCTGCCCCGGGGTGTGCGGCGGCGGACCCTCCCGCGCCCTCTCGCGCTCTGCCTCGGTCTCTGCCTGGCTGCGGCCGCGGCCACCACGCTGCCCGGTGAGTCCGCCAACCCCGCCTCGTCCCATCATCCGGCCCTCCGACCCCGCCAAGTCAGGCTTGGGACCCCGAGCTCCCCTGCACCTCATCCCCACCCCTCACCCCCACCCCCACCCCATCCCGGGAGCGCCGGCGTCACCTCTCATCCCCCGGCCGCAGAGCCCCGGGCGGGTCCCAGGGACGTGCGGGGAACGAGGTCAGGCGGGAGCTGACACCTTACCCGTCCCCCTCACCGCGAACCTGAGCCGCGGGAGCCACTGTCCCCGAGCCGGGGGGGGCTCCTGGGTGACTCCGCGGGGTGGCGGGGGCGTGGGCTGCAGCACCCCGGGCGCGCTCCAGCTCCGCTCCGGCCTCCGCCTGCAGCCGTGGCCGGGATAACGGGCCGGGGCGTGGGAACGTGGGAGACGCCACCAGGCCAGCGACCTCACCACATCCCGTCCCCTGCCCCCCACGTCTCGTCCCCGGGGAGAGGGGTGCACCCGGGGCCGGCACCTCATAGGCCCCAACCCAGTGGAGCAGGTACCAGTTTTGTTTTGTTTTCAAGTGGAAGCAAGTTATCTGAGCCTTTTTTTTTTTTTTTTTTTAATAAAAAAACAACAAAACTTTTCCACTGGGCTGTTTCAAGTCAAACTATCCGAGTAAAAAAGTACGGTTCCTGCCTTTCTTTGGAGGTTATGCGATAAGGGTGGTAATTCTGAAGGCGGAACAATAAGGTTTTAGAAGAATTTTCTTTGAATCATGTAGAAAGTATTTAGGGAGTTTTTGTTTTGTTTTGTGTGTGTTCCCTCCCTTGAGTGTCAAAAAACCAATTATTTGAAGTGTGAGGGGAGATTTTAAGGGGGATGTGAAGTTGCAGGGGTTCTTGAATTTGGACGGGATCAACTTAATCAAGGCTTGGTTCTTCTGTTTTGTCCGGCGTGGCAAAACACTGTCATTATTGAAAACTGGGATAACTTGGGAGAGGCTAGGTGGTTGCTGTCTTGCCATCGGTGGACGGAACTGTCAAAATGAGATTCGGTTAACTGGGACGCACATGTTGGTTGGCAGTTGACGGCACCCCAGCACCCCGTGCAGGGTGAGAGACAAAGTAGGTTATAGAGGGTAACTTTACATATAAAATTTTACCCACAAAAGATTCTTGGGGTTATAGAGTTTACAAAGTTGTTTCTCAGGACCGAGGGCGGTAGTTAAATGTACTGAATGTGTAGCTTGTGAATACTCACTTTAGCAGGGGCAGCCGTTTTACATTTGTTCCTGAATATGGGTCTTCAGAAAGGACCCACCTTTTAAAAGATTCGTAATCCAGGAGCTGCTTTATCGTTGTCCTTGGGAATCAACAGATCCTGACTTCTCATTTTATCAGTGGACTTTTTTTAAAATATTTTTATTTTATAATTAACTTAATTTCACATTATCAGCCACAGATTCCCCCGCTCTCCCTCCAGTCGGTGGACTTCTAAAAACTTCTGGGCTGGATGATAAGGGACTGATTGTGCTGAAGGGAATATATGAATGATTATTTTTCTATGTCTGATATGTTGACTTACTTCATGCCTGTGGCCAAGCAAACTTTGAAGAACGAAATCAACTGTACTGTGGCGTCTTGGCAGTTTTGAGAACAAGTTTATATTTGGACGACTTAAACATAGTCTTAAAGATTTGTTTCTACTTGATATACCAATCAAGTTTCCGATGCTTTCAATAGTTCCCTATGCGGATGTCTGGAATTTCTTTTTTTATTATTATTATACTCAGTAGCTCTTTTCCATTTAGATTTTTGTCATGTGCCTAAATTGCCTGTCTGCCAAGGTTGCAGCATACAGTGTCATTTAGATTTTGAATCAAAGCACTGCTTTCGACTTTTAAAGGTTCTTGTTCCAATATTTTCATCAGAAGTCCTTGCTCTTTCTTTACAGTAATAAGAATGTCTAACTCCCAGCATGATGGGACACCCTTTCATCCCAGCACTCAGAGGCAGGGACAGGCAGATTTTTGTGAGTTCGAGGTCAGCCTGGTTTGGATAGCAAGTTCCAGGCCGGTCATGGCTACAGAGTCAGAAAAAAAAAAAAGTCTAAAAACTATCCCCCCCCCCAATAGAATTCATCAGTTTTTCTGATGTATTTTTCACTTAATAACCAAACATAGACTTTTAAACCATCAGAAAACAATGTTAGTAAGTAATGCTTTTGAGCTCCATCATAACTAGTCAGAGTCCTTTGATTTTTATTTCCATATATATTTTATATTTATTACATTTTGTATATATTTTATACATGTGTATATATTTTTATAACGTTGTAGTTGCAGATTTGGTGGATGAATTTGGTCCCGAAGTTTAGCCGCTTTTTCCTCAAATGCCTTCCAACTACAGGATCCTAAATTACTCTTTTTGTTTGCATAACCCCGAGGAGCCACCCACTTCATTCCTTCCAACACCTGCGTGGCAATCTTTGACTTGCTACACATGTTAAACTGGTCTACAGGTAGTCAGGTCTGATGGGCGTGGCTTCAGCGCTGGGACGCCATCTGCTCTCAGATTGGCTTGATAGATAGAAGGCACATACCTGACCAGAGCTCCTTAAAATTCAGTTGCAGATGTCCTTCCCCTTCAAGACAGAAAGGGCTGCTTGTGTGGCTGGCAAATGTCTGCCTGCTCTTTGTAGGTAAACTGAAGCCTCTGGCACATTGTGATAACTTGGTTTTGGTATTTGGGTCAGGGAAGATATCAGAGGACACTCAACACTTCTTGTCCTTGGAAAGCCTGTTGCTAGTTCCCCGGGGAACCTTCCAAATGAAATCCCCTAGATTGAGGCGTTGCTTTATAATCTGGCCTCTCAGAAGAGTCGGTCGTGTCTACCGGTGTGATGTCTTCACAATTAACCTGCCTTTGGATGGGAGCACGATGAGCCTTTTAATTCTTTTGATTAGAGTTTCTTATTGCTGTACACGGATCTCACGACTTTACCTTGAATGCCCTTTATTTTCTCTTTCTTGGTCGTAACTTCATTCTCCTTGTAGAACGTTCACTGTGGTCCCTGCTCCCTGTTAGTGTATTCAGTTGCTCAACTTTCTGACAATTTTTCCCCCCAGAAGCCTTTAAGAGAACGTAGGAGAAGTAGAACGGCGATGAGTCAGTTGACTTTGTGGAAGATTTTGATTACTACTTGTTTCAAGTGACAGAAATAAACCTGAACTAGTTTTAGTCGGAAGGAAGGAAGGAAGGGGGAAAGGAATGTACTGGAAGACCATTGGAGGCCAAGTGCAGACAGACCTTATTAGGGCCTACGATTATGAACTATCACGGAGCCTGGAACTCTCCAGGTCCCTGCCTTCACTGGCTTCACTGTTCTCTGGCTGTATTTGGATTTTGTTCCTGTGTCTGCTCTTTGCTGTTTAAAGTTACATGTTGCTGCTCAGCAGCTCTTATTCCCCTTCTGTGTCCTCTGCCCACAAACACAGAGCTCAGTCCTGTTCCTCAGAAAAAGATCCTGATACACACAGTTTGGGTCACGTGGTTGGCCTAGATTTCCCCCAAAGTCTCTTTTAGTTATAGTAAGTATCCTGTAGTATAGCCATGTAGAGAGTTTGAGTTGGCCTTTTCACATCTCAAATAGATATATACAAATTTGAGACAGGGGTTCTCTGTGTAGCCTGGTTGTCCTGAAACTTGATCTTAGGCCAGGCTGGCCTTGAACTCAGAGATCCACCTTCCTCTGCCTCTTAAGTGCTGGAATTAAAGGTGTGCACCACCACTGCTGGGCTGGGATAATTAGTCTTTACACTGAATAATTTCTTCTTGATTACAGTGTGTGTAAGGTGGGCAACATCCTCAGTGGGCACCAGACTTCATGCACTTCCTTCTCCTGCAGGAGTACTGAGGGGGGAACCTCTGGGGAGGCAACTGGGTGCATGTCACACTCAGGAATCATTATGAGCTTGGCATGGAACAGAGTGGTGGAAATCCCGTATGCTAACCATTAATCCATTCTGCAGGCCATCATCTGCACATTTTCAGGAATCCACTCGCTAAAATGTTGAGTCCAAGTGACTGTGTATGTAAATTCGTTAGGATTATGTAAATGATAGAGACATTCCAAGTAGAAATAATGTAGAGAGCATGAGTTCATGAGGTTTGGCTTGCTGCCCCGACCTTTGCTTTTCAGAGTGGTTGAAGTCTTCACAGTCTCTTGTCAGATCCTATTTTTGGGAATCCTTCTGTATCTAATAGAATCTTTAACTTCCTTCAGTGTCTATAAGAGCTGGTGCCACCTAAGACCGTATGTATTCACTATGTGGCAGGCTGGTTGGTGGCGTGCAGTTCTGAGAAGGCCCTTCGCCCTGGCGTGCCTGGTCTCAGTCATATTGAATCTGAAACCCTCACACCCACTGCCACCCTCCTCCTCCTCCTCGACACTGGAACCCAGGTGCACTATCCTCTCGTAGTCTTTGTCCATTTGTTAGGTTTTAGAAGCTTTTCCATGAACACTCCACAGTTTCCTGTATGGAGATGGAATATGTAAAAGGCCATTTCCCCACCAACGGAAGTGATGCAGGAGGGGAGGTGACCGCAGACTCACGTGGGAGGGGATCGGCTTTGGTGGGGGCGCACGCTCTTATATCAGACAGAGCGAATGCAGAAGGAATGGAGCTGCTATCAAGAGGCAGAGTGTGACAATAACGAGGTGGAAAAAATTTGCTTTGGCTCAGAACATGCAAGACTCTTAAGGACAGGCCCGAAGATTTGGGCTGGCCTAATAAGCTGTGAAATTGGAGTTTCTTGATCCCTGAAATGGCACAGTCAGCGTTGAATTGTAGGTTGCCTTTCTAACAGTTCACAGGATGAGTTGAGTTGGCAGAGAAACCACCAGGTGGATAAGAAGCAACCCGAGAGGGTTTTCAAGAAATAAAGGCCGGAATTAGGGAGTGGCAATGGGGTGGGGGAGGAGGCATTGCTGAGGTGGATTGGGCTGACACCTTTAATTGGGTATTGAGAAAGAGAG